CGCGCACTCTCTCTTTCTCTCTGTCACTCACACACACATTTTATCCTATTTTATAAAATATTTTTTAAATTGATTTGGTATCCCAAAAAGTAAGATGTTTTTAAAAAAATTAAGGTTTCATTAATAACAGTTATTATGATATTAACTCTCATTATTTCACCCCTTGTACAATTTTTCTTTTCTCTCTTTTATCAACAGGGAGTATTTTTGGAAGTTTAAAAAAATTAAGATTGTACATTGTATTTAATAAATTTTATTGATATGTAAAAGAAATCCTATTATATATATATATATATACATATATTTATTATTTATTTATTTTTATTATGGTCAAAGGAGTCAAATCATGCTATAGGATTTCAAATATATATGGGACACCTCACTGTGAGATGTGGAATAAATAGTGCCATAATTTGAAATCTTATTTAGATTGAACTTAAAATATTTTATCATATAAAAAATTTATCTAATCAAACTTGGCTTTAATCCTCTATTTTTTAGCTTATTTAGGCTAGCTTAGATTACTCAAATTGTTAAAAATTATTTTATTTATTTTAATCTAATTTCAATTTATTTTAAAAATTAATATTTTCAATTTTTACATTATTTTATTAATAATAAAAAATAAATTCAAGTATTATGGCTAAAATCATTCAAGTTTTGGACTTCACTTGAATTTCTTTGAATTTATGTACACAGTCTAAATAAGTTAAGAGTAAATAAAATTTTTTAAACTTTTAAACTTGACCCTAAAATTTTTAAAAGCTTATTTAAATTTAGCATATTAAACTTTGCCCAAATTACGGCCATTAGCAATAAATTCTTCAACGGTCTTGAGAAAAGGTAGGTCTTCTTGTTTGTTTTTAACCAACAAAAAGGGCAAGTCTTTGAAATATACGAGTACGTATTTATGTTTGTAAATGTATTAAGATTGTGTTGTGCGGAATAATCAATGAAGTCAAGTACTCCCTCTATCACTATATATAAAATATTTTTAACCAAATTCTATATATTAATAAATTTTATTATTTAATTAAAATCATATTAAATTATTAGAATTTTTTAATTTTGCCTTGATAATGTCAATTAATTTATATCATGATGGTAACTAGTGGGTAAAACTGGTAAAAAAAAAAAACTAGTGGGTAAAGCACACAATTAGTACTCCCTCCATTGAAAAATATAAAGCATTTTTTGAGGAGTTGGATGTTAAAAAATATAAGATTTTTAATTTTTTGAGGTGTAATCATTACTTTTTTTTTCCAAAAATGTTTCTATTAATAATAACTTTATATTTATTGTAGGATGTTTAATAAGGATAAATATAAAAAAAATAAAGTTAGTTTAAAAATAAATAATTATTTTGTTAGCGGGTGAGATTCAGTTAAAAATATTTTATATTTTTAGATGGAGGGAGTATCTCTTTTTCTTTTTAAGTAAGAGTAAAATTTTCTAATTATTTAAAATTATCATGACATCATGTATATTTAAGGATACAATAAACTTTTAAAGACATCTTAGGAATAAAAAGAGTAATATTTACTATTATTAGCCTGGATTTGCGTTTCTTTTACGTTCATTCAAAGAATTCCTCTGCATTCAACAACTAAATACTTCCTCTTTCTCTCTTTCTTCCTCTCATATTATAAAATACTTTAAGGAGTAATTCATCATTCTAAAATATAAAATACTTAACAAAAATAAAGTTTAATTAATAATACTTTTTAAGATTACTATTCCCATTATATTTAACTCTTTTATTATTCTTTCATCAATGAAGTACTAAATGAAGGGCATATTTAAAATTTTTTATTTTTATTTTGAAAAAAATAAAGTTTGTAAAGTATATTTAATAATTTTCTTAGTATATGCAATTTTATCTAAAAATATATTATAATTTGGAACGAATGAAGTAAAAATAAAGTTTGTAAAGTGTATTTAATAAATTTTTTTGGTATATATATTCCCTCCGTCTCAAATCATAAGATATTTTTAAAAAAGAATGTAATATATTTTGAGAAGATTAAAGTTTTATTAAATAAACTTATTTCAATATTATTCTTTCTAGCTCTATTTAATTTTTGTTTCTCTCTCTTTTCAATATATTAAATGAAGTATATTTTTAAAAATTTATATTTTTATTTTAAAGGTACAAGGTTATTAAATATATTTAATAATATTTATTAGTACCTGAGATTTTGTCAAACAATGCCTTAACATATTATATATCGGTCAAAAAATAAGCTGCGCTACATATATTACATCACTAGTGTTTCTATATATTATAAATACTTGCATAAATGTTTCTACATAAATTGCCGTATAAATTAAACATTCTGATCATGATATCATTTCTATACGCGGAATTATAACAACACTAAAGTTGCTATATAATCAGAATGTGAGGGATAAATAATATTGACTAAAATACATTAACATCCCTATATTCTGCATTAATTACAAAAAACATTCATTCTAGTATTAAAAATTATATATATTAACCAATGTATTTTCTCTTGAAAATATGAAATAATATTTAATTGTTACAAAGTTAGCACAGAATAAGGAAATTTAAAACCAAAGATTTATGCAAAATTGAATTACTATTAAAAATCACGTTATGAACAATTTTCCTGAAGTTACGAGTGTAAAACAAAATGAAGAAGAAGTCCTAACATAGAAATGATCTTACCTACTATATGAATCACATGAAATAATTATTATGGTCCTCCATGAACAACAAATTATTTAAAATCATATTCTCTGATTATTGCACAGTAAAAAAAAACATTCTTCGAATTTAAAAGCTTTAACAAGAAGTTTTATATATAGGTAAAAGTAAGCTGATTTCTATGTTCCACGAAATGCTCTATCAACAATTAACATTTATATATATATATATATATATATATATCATTTAATCAACAACTAATGGATTTCTAACTATTAAAAGTCCGAATTCGAAGTTTTTTTTTTAAAAAAAAAACGGCGAGGAGGTAAGTGGGGAAAAAAAGACGACGAGAAGAAAAATAGGAGTGAACGAGTGAGGAAAGTCAAAGTCACACATACCGACAAGTTTGAGGAGAACTTTAGCATGAGTGGGTGATTGATTGCCAATTTTCTCTGAATTTTATAGGAAGGCAATAAATTCGGTATGGTGCCGTTGCATACATACAACTCTCTAACCCATATACCACCAGGTGATTAATGCAGACAGTTTCATTATCAGTACTAAACTATCAGCGTACAAACATTATTATTATGGGTATTAATTATTAGTATTTGTTAAGGAGAACATATTCATGTCCTGATCCTCTCCTCTTTCCCCCAGACGAGGAATCTCCCAAGTCCCACAGTTCAACTCATCACCTAAAAACCAACCCACCTAACATTAACACATCCCTGTCTCTCTTTCTTTCCTGTTCAGACAACCATGAGATGCACAAAATGAAGATGGCTGCCTAACTAACTTGTCCATATGTTCCTTAAAAGTCTCTTAAAGTGAAAAGGGAAACACGTCCCTTTTCTGAGGGGTTAGTTTCGCCATTTTAACGCCAGATGTTAGTATATGTTCTGACCCTTAATTGGTGCGCGTCATTCTCTCTGAATCATGAATTTATTAGTGTGATGAGGAATTAAAAACATGGCGCTTGTTTGTACATCCATCACTTCAACTTTCAACAGTGCTGATCGTCAACTTACAGGTAGTTACTTGAGAAAATTTCACTTAACACACCCTCATTTAAAACCAGAGCTATTGAAATGAAATTAAAATATAGAGTAAAATTATTTTATTGTCCCTCATCCTCTCTGATTTTTTATTGAAGTTATTCATTTTTTTTACATAAAGTTGTTTGTTAACCTATAAGAGATGTTTGATATCATAGGGAGTTCAGAATTAAATAGTTAATTTGTTATTTTTCTCAAAATTTCAATTTCACTTTAATATTCCTAATCTGAAATGAAGTTTTAAAGTTTAAGAAGCTTTATGTTTTATTGAGTGTGGCCAGGGAGTTTTAAATGAAATTTTCCCTAATTACTTCTTGTCGTGTCATTTCAATCATCCCCAAAGTGCATGTTGATGAATAATTCTCCACCGCTGGCTATAGACATATGAACATCTCTCTCCTATTCAATATGCATAGAGCTCCAAAATATTCTCTTTTGCATGCATAAGGACTATTTGGTTCGATAAGTTGTCATATGTGCAAGAGTCAACTTTAATAATAGCCCTTACCTTTGCTTTGCAACGAGCATTTGCATGTAATAAACATGAACCTGTTGCTGCGGGATATGTTCCTTCATATTGGTCACGCGCGAGTAGCTACCTAGGTCTCATTTGAGAAGGGTTCTACCGTGTACCAAATTAAAGCTAGACACAGGAGACATGATCTAAAGTCGACAGGGCTTACAGCCACATGACGTGTGCGCGCGTGTATTTGAATATATAGAGATAATTAACTTCTGTTCTTAATTTCTCTTTTCACTGTCGCCTCTAAATTAATTGGAAAAAGTTGGATCTGCAAGTATTATTGATGTTTGGCAAGCTGCATTGCTGCAACTGCAAAACATGGCATTGAAAAATCACTTTCTTTACTGCAATTTTAGAGCAGACCTTGAAAACCCTTTATACAATGGCCTTCTCAATTACATTGCATCGAATCAGAAGCCATGTCCTTTCTCATCTCCCCACCTGTCTCCACACTATGATGGCCGGATTCACGCACACGTGTGTGTCTGGACAAAACCTTCATGCGAACCCAACTGTCTTGTATGCTTTATCATTGCCACACGTGTGAACAGTTATCTTTGCAGACAAACAAGGATGTTATAATACATTATACAGGATACGAAATGATACACTATAGAATTCTGCATTAGATGTTTGGTATTTGTAACTTTAACCCATTTGAACTAAGAGAAAACAGTCAAGATGGTTCGTCGTTTCTTAATTCTGATTTTTGAAATCAAGAAATGGTTAAAAGAAGCGGAATGCTGAATGTCATGAATAAAATATGGAAACTTCGTTTACATATCAAATCATCGTCTCATCATAATTGATCACTGTTAATTTCGAGGAGAATAAGAACCGAAGTGATATATGGGCCTTATCGTACATGGGATCAAGTCATAGGATTTCAACAAAAGAAAGAAAAAATTTCCACATAATTCATATAGAGAAGCCCCAAAAGTTATTCGTGGGGAGGAGATATAAAGTTATTCATCGTTACAGATGAAGATCCAAACTCACATGGTCGTGAACGCCGGGTTTAGAGTCATAAACGAGGCGATTCTGCGAAGCGGAACCAACGACTTGAGGAGCCCCGACGTTAATTTCGTCGCCGGCAAGCAAGGGCAACGGATGCTGCGAGTGCAACGACTGGTCACGGTTGAAAGCAGCGGGGTTATTGTGGACGGCGGGGATCCGCCACAAGGCCAAGGGGCTACCGTTGATGGGCTGCAGGTGAGGATAGGAGCTAGCGCCGTGGGTTCCAAAGAACCTTCCAGCGGCAGAGGAGGGATAGGGAGCAGAGCCGAGGCGGTAGTTGACGAGGCCGTAGGCATGGGCGGCGGCGGCGGCGTCGACCGAGAGGCTATTGTGCACCATGGCAGACTGAAGGTGGGTTCGCTTGGCGTGCTGACGCTCTCGTTTATGGGCGTTCTGGTGGCCACCCAGGGCTTGAGAAGTGGGGAAGTTTCGACAACAGTAATGGCATTCAAATCGGCGGGTGGTGTCGGAGTTGTTGTCGGGGGCGGCGGAGTCCTTGGAATCGAGGTCGAAGGCGTTATTGGGGGCGGTGGTGGAAGGGGCATCATCGGGGGAAGAAGAAGAGTCGGAGTTGGGGAATTCAATGCCGAAAAGCTTGAGGGGCTTCTCTTTGAGGGAGGAGGAGGGCGGATGAAGGGGAGCTGGGAGAAGGACTGGACGTTCATGAAGTCATGAGTCTCTCTGTCTGACTTGTCCATGAGGGAGCGAGGCTTGTGTGTGTGTGTGTGTGTGTGAATGAGCGAGGAAGAGGGGGTGGGAGTTTTGGGGAAATGATGTGAGAATTGGGGAGAAGAGGAGGAGGAGGATCAGAGGAAGAAGGAGGAGGGGCAAAGAGAGAGAGAGAGTATTAGAGGGAAGGAGGGGGTGGGTGGGACACAGGGAAGCAGAGCAGAGGGTACTCAGATCAAATGGACAACTGGGAGGGCTGAGGGCTCATCCATCTCAGTGAAAGCCCTGACAACCCCACAAATACTTCGACTCTTAGTCATCGCCACCCCACCATCCCCTCATCTCATCATATATGTGCCATCTCGTTTCCAAGTAATTTTGGTACTTTATATATATTCATGTTGGCTTTGACGCTCTTATTTTTTAGCTAATAACTTGACTTCCTCCTAACTACTCTTAGTCCAAACTCTAAAATATAAATAATATAGCATTTGTAAAAAAATTTATATTTTATTTTTTCATATTTACTAACCTAAATTCTTGTATATGTGTTTTTTTTGGTCATCTTCTCACTCCTCATAAATTAAAATAAAAATAAAAAATAAAATAATATATATTTTTATGAGGATAGAAATTTTATTGATATCTATATTATAATAAAAAGATGCTTATATTTTAAATTAGAGAAAATATGTGTGTGTATAAATTATTCGGTAGAAGTCTATTTTTTACTCTCTAATTAACTCGAGAGATTAGTATTATGTATTGAAAGCATAAATAATCTAGTTGAAAAAGGTGATTTTTTGTTGTTTTCTTTTGGAAACAACGGATTTAGTCTGCGGGGAAAAATTATTTCATCTGAAAATTTTAATATAACTAGTAATTCAAATAATAACAAAGTTTTACCTTTACGTACCCTTATTATAAATATAGTGTTTCCGGTCCAATATTGGATGCAATGTTAAAAGTATTCCGGTATTTGAAAGATTCTTTATCATTCGCTCCTTTTAATAATTAAGGTTAAAATGGCTCATGATTAAAAAGTTAAGTTAAATTCCATATGCATGATCAACTACCAACTATTTCAAACAAGATCGCATTATGTTTCTTGAAAGAAAAACACACATGGATGTGATGATATCATCATACATTATAATTGACCACCGGTGCTGCCATAATTAAATCACCATGAATGTTTCGGGGTTTTGAAGAATGAGAGATCATCCAATGGAACCTTACAAATATATACCTTGCTGCAAAAAGTCGAAAAGTGTAGTGTTCAAATCAGACTCCACGAGCGCTTAAGAGATGAATTATGGATTCATCTCACACCTTTTCTCTTCTAATTTCTATTCCTCTTTGTTTTGGGTTTTGAATTATATACGAACATACACCTACTCTTTCTTTCTTCCTCTTTAGGTACATATATTCTTCTGTTCATCCTTCTTCTTTCTCGTCCAGTTATACATACTCTATATGTCTGTTCATTTGTTTAGCTTCATCATCACGAGCCGCCTCAAATAATGCCCTTTCTTTCCCCTCCTTCTTTAGCTTGTTTTATAATCGTCGGTGTTAAAATTCACAAGGACAAGAGTAGTCATTTGAGAACTGATGAAAAAGCTCTCCCTTAGCCGAATTGATCATCATGATCACGTTTTCATATATGTATGTATGTGTTGGATAGAGAGGTGCAGCAAGAAATTAAAATTTTAAAGTTTCTATCTTGATATGAACCGAACAATTCATTTAAGTCAATATGAAAAGAATAGTTATTTTTAATTCTTCAAATTTGGTGTGTGTTCTCTTCGAAAGTTTGGATTTTAAGAGTTGATAACGTAAATCTATTCCTTCTATCGGTATCTACACGAACAGTTCTCTAACTCAAACAGTGTGCTAGCGCTCTCAGCGTCTGTTCTTCTTTGAATGTTAGTTTTTCTTTCTACATGGTGTTTTGTGACTCTCAAAGTATTTTTACCGTCAGAACTTTTATAACTCTCTCTATTACTGAAGCACATCCCTATCTATATATATTATATAAATTAGGGTTTTCGTCTTTCACTTAAAAACACATAAAAATTTAATTAAATTTATCTCATAAATTTAATCCATGATATTATATCTAATTCAAATTTATCTTATAAATTTAAATTATAAAATTGACATGATATTCTCTCATATCATGTTAGTTATTAAATTTAATTTATTATATAAAATTAAATTTAAAACTAACATAACATAACATAACATATATAATATAATATATATATATTCACATATACATATTATATAGATACATATATATTTCAAATATATATATATATATAATTACATTTCAAATTTTATATTTCATATAAATATTTATCAAATAATATTCATATATATATATATATAATTTATTCACCCTATATTACATTCATTATATTTAGACATATTCCAGATTTAATGAACTTAAACATTAAAGCTTGAGTTGGGCTGTTCTTGTGGGCAACCCTATAGGCTCATATGAAGTTGGCAGTAGGCTAATTTGCTATTAGCTCACAAATTACAAGTGACTTCTAGTAAGACATTGTGACTACCTAATTTACATGGAGATCGATGATCCAATATAACCTATCATGTAACCGTATCTTATCCTTTTTGTTACGTGATATTTCAATTAAGTGTGAGATATGAAATTGTTATTCTCCTTTACCTGACCATTACTTTCTTAATCTCTGAGTGGACTAACTATAGCAATGAAAAAAAACCCTTTTCATTGTAGCATGACCATACATTTTTTCAGTTTTACTCATTGAGCGGCCTAGTAATATCTCTCAGTTAATGTGAGGAATAAATTCCATCTTGATCATTCATATTTCTCTGCATGAATATCACTAAATTCAATCATAGCCTTTATGATCACTCAGCCAAAGGTGACTTTTGACTAGGTCAAAGTTTAATGGTTATCATGTAGGAATCCATGACGATCTCAAGTCAAAGAGCTTAATAATATGGTTACATATGAGACAAGCTTATGACTTGTATTATGTAGCTTTTTTATAACAGGTTGGTCCAACACCTTGTACTCTTTCAATTGCCTGTAACTTTAATTTATATCTTTATAATTAATCAAAGTCATACTAGTTTTATTTCATCTATGATCCCTCATAGATAACCGACCAGGGACATTTAGGACAATCACTATACTTTGTTTAAGGATACATTTATCATAGTAAATTTGCGATTGATATATTAATGCAAGAGAAATTCATTGAATAACAACGTGCGTAGTACAATAATTGACCCTTGGGCACAATTTCTAACAGTATGTATGTATGTATGTAATCAAAGAGATCAAGGTGGCCAGTGGTAATTGGATCTGGGTCGTTGTTGTTCTTGATAACAACGATTTCTGGATAAATTTGTCTGCAAGTAGATGTACTCTATATATATATATATATATATATGCACCTTGCACCATTCTGATGTTATTCGGCATTCTTCTGAATATTTGAGCGCAGTAGATTCAGTCCTTTGTCAAAAGAATCAAGGGAAAACTAGAGAATTGAATCAAATCAAAATTCAAAAAAGTGATAAACTAAAACAATTGACAACTTTTTTCTCTCTCAAGATTATAAGGCATGCATCTTAGTTCAAAAGATGTTTACATAAGTACTTACAAATCACTCATCAATAAAATTTTTACATCAATAATAAGATTTGGTCCTATAAATTTATAGACATTATGTGTCTAATCCTTAATTGGATCAACCTTTATTAGTATGTAAGACTTCTATTTGCTGAAGTTATATATTGAGAAACTTTGATTGAAAACTTAGAATCAATTTTTGATAATAATCCATTGATATACGATAATTTATTAATGGCAATAAAATCAAGGAATGTTTATGAAAACAATAAGGAACAAAAAAAAATGAAGCCGCGAGAAGATTAAGTAATTTAAAAAAATGGAAATTGTTTAAATTTAGTTTCAGATAATTGGAAAAATTATGCAAATAGAAAATTTAAAATTAAATCATAAAAAACTATATAGCGTAGAGTCTAGAGTCTCTTAATTTTAGGCTTTAATTAAGGTTAAAATAAAAAATTAATATAATTACTGGATTTGATGTTTTTCCGGTTTAATTCTTTCTCCAATCCGATCTTTTAAGACATCATGGTGTTTAAGAAAAATCTCTTAACATTAATTCCCGCTTTAATTTTTGTATTCGAGCAGCATTATGGTAATGATCGAAAGGTAGAAATGAATAGCATCTAGCTAGTGGAATGGTTGCAGAACGCAGAAATCTATTATAGGTAAAAACCTGAAAACAAAATTTTACTAAGAAAAAGCTTACAAAAAAAAAAATCTATCTTTCGTCATGCATAAAAGGTATGCGAATATATCTATATATGAAGCTATTGTTTTTTCTCTTCACTGGTTTCAATGTCTACACTACCCAAGTCTCTCTTTATCGTTTTTGTTACCTCAAAAAGTTACCCCTCATTCCGCGAGATGGAAAAGGAGAGGGAAGGCGACCTCACTTGCTGTTATAATTGGGTTTGTCTGTGAAGAGTTGTCTAAAAATTTTCAGCGAATATTTCATCGAATTCATTCAAAATAGCAATCTCATGATATTATTTTTAGTTACCTTTCCCTTCTTTCTGCAAAAGCAGGCTGCTTTATTTATGAATGCTTGACTCATTTTGCCATATACCTATTCTCTCACTCTTCAACTACTTCTCACTCTTTGAAGAAATTTCTTGCCCATAGACATGTCACCATCCCTACTTTCTTTCCATTCTCAAAATTACTTTTTGGGCTGTCATTAAGATAACCAGTTTCCATTGAAGCACTTGCGATAAATATCTCTTTCTATAATCTATCTATCTACCATGCATAGTCCTTATTGCTTTTGGTTAAGAGAAACTCTCGCCAGACAGTTGAATTCCCTGAAGCTGTTAAGAATACTGTTGCTTGGCGGGCATTTACATAAAAAGATTCCCTTGTATCCAATCAACAATTAGTTTGGTAATTGTAATTGGATGAAATTAATTACTCGTGGTTTCAGACCTGTGTATTAGTTTTCTGGTTTACACCTGGGATGAATTCCCAACGTGGCACTGGCGTCTTGTGCCTAGCTTGGTAGGATTAATTGGGATTCCCTACCACGTATCCTTATCAATTTTGTCCAGAACTAAAAATTATTGGGCTAATAATATGCTGTGTTTTAAAAGTTTGACAGGAAATACTTTCAAGTTACACCTAAACTAGCAAACTAAGTGGGCCTCTTTCTTCTGTTTAAAGAACCCATTATTATCTCTCTTTCTCTTAAACTAGCGACAAGCATGAAAGTAATTTCT